TTGGAAAACAACCAAAATGATGGTGTGTGTGGATGTTAGGAAGCTATTGGCTTCAAAGTACCTTCAACATGTGGATGTTGGTGGGAGTGTATGTGATCTGTGGCAAACAACATTATATGGTTGCTAAAATGTACTCTGGGATTAAACATCATCATCTGTTATGCCATCGTTTTGTTCCCAATCACCTGTCTTTGGCTGTGCACAAAAGAAAAAAACCGACAGGATTCATTGTAATCTTTGACAGACTGAACATAAATTTTTAATATAAATTTGTTGCCTTGTCAGGGTAGGGAGGACGAGTGCTGGGCATGTGTGGTTGTGTGGTTTTGCATATATACTCGTATATTGTAAATGCACAACAGGTGTCCTTTGTTTTGTGTTATTCGGTAGGAGAGAGACCCGGAGCTGTGTTTGTTATCAAGGACCTTTCTTCACACCACCTTTACTTTGTTTACTTAGTCAGGCCTTTAAATATTAATAGATCATTATTTTTTCTTGTTTGCGGTAAATTGGGAATAAGAAGTTCACCTCTAGGGATTTAAAAAAAAGTAAAGTTGTTTGCCATCAAATTACCAAAGTAAATGTGGCGCGTGTGTTAGTTCGTCGAGTGTGACTTTTATAAGAAATATTTTGATTGAGGTCTGTAGGGGACAACTCGATTTAGGAAGTTAACAATATTAATATTACTTTTTCATTTATTTATTTATTTTTATTTCCAAATAGTACGAGTAAGTTATTTAAAATTGTACAATATATATGGTCGAGGTTCAAGATTTTAGTGCTGTACAGTGGTTCAAGATGTTCAAGTTGAAAAAATGTCATTGTGTTATAGGTAATTTAAATGTACTTCAGTCGTTCTAAAATATATAAGTGAACTTTACTATATTAATAATCTGTAATTAATAACAATTAAAATTGTATTTTGCGCCCCAAGGTATTTTAAAAGTATTTCTTAATTTTATATAAAATTGTAGCACACAATTAGCGGGGCTTGTTGGATTATATATTCATGCTCAAATCAGGGATTTTCTGGGGACTTTATTTCTGAATTTTTTATGTTTTTGCTGAAAACAAATTCGTTTATCCGCATATCATTATAGATTTATCGTCATGATTTCAAAGTTGCACAAATTAAAAGACTTCTCCAATTGACTTCTTCTCACAACGATTAGTTCCCTTCATCATCATGACTGACAACTACAAAATATTCCTTCTCCATTTTTCATTATTTACTTTAGAGCGTTGTAATGTCCTGTATTTTGTTCAATTAATTTCCTCCCACACAAATTTGTGTGTAATACATTGACGATGATTTCCGTTGGCTGGAAAATTTCACAGAGTCATTGATTTGTAATTAAAAAATGTATTTCTAATTTTAAACAAACAAAATGCTTTCCCCAAACAAACTTAGAGGGACAATTTGCCAATAACATGTTACTTGTTAAAAAAAGATATATTTTGCCAATATATTTCTACCATCTTAAGGGAACGCCAGAAAAAACAACTCTCTGCTTGCTTAAGCAATGATTATAGAAATATCAGGAGTTTAACTTTCTTTTTTAACTTTGGATTTTTATTTTCGGTTAAAGAAGTGCTTTATCACTCACCCCCTCCATCATTTATACCATCATTGTCAGCATTGAGTTCCGCCTATTTGGTTTTTGTTTCGTTATCGCACAGAGAACAGATTCAATGTTTTATTTTCCAAAAAGAAAAAAGGAGTCGTTTCAAAATTTTAACGAGTTCCTTTGGAAAAAACATCAATTGTGTGTGTATGTGTGCTGGTTCTATGTAATCTACCACTATTCAATGCCGCCATTATTTGTCCTCTCCCTCGCAATCTTCTAATGATTTTGATTATTTGTGGTTTGTATTCTTGCTATATTTTTTGGTGTGCTCTTTAAAATAAAAGCAACGGTAATGATAGCTTGTTTAACGCTCGCTTTGTACATTTTTCAAATCGATTTATTAACGAACTGTTGCCTGTGGCAATGAAATGAAATACCAGTTAACTGCTTGATTTGTTGTCTTATTATATATCAAGCACGGGAATGGGAAAATAAATCAGAGACAATGGAGAAACGTGGAAGAAAAATGTAAGTTAATGTCTTTCATTATAGGAAATCATTAACTTCAAAATATATATTTTAATATATAATTTTTTATTTGGAATTCGTATTTCTGCAAATTTTAATTAGTCGAATATCACCATAAATTTCGTGTGAATTGTGAATTTCATTTCGAATGCCATTTAATTATTAAATTAAATTCACAATTATTTGTTTGCCATCTTCGTCACCGCCATTGCCTTGCTAATTATTTAAGTTTGTCTTATTTGTGGCGCATGTTTCGCGTGTTCCGCATTATGTTGTCGTTCGTCCATTGCCGCTTTTAATTAAAACATTTTATTACGAATGACATATTTATTGTTTTTTAAGTATCTGCAATTGTAAACCGCCTGAAAACATTATCAGCATATTTTTGTATATTTTACTAAATGAGTGCGTGGCTGTTTGTCCGTTACCAGCATACGGTTTAAAGTAAAGCTTTAATGTTGGTGTGTGAAAGTGGAGGTGATGCATAAAAATGTAATATTGGGTTCTGTTTAACGGTTAGGCCAAGTCGATTGGACCTTCCTTAATTTTTTTATAAATATATTATTCTACAAAAATTTGGAAATAGTTAAAAGCTCTTCCTGGATATTGCTCAAAGACACGCACCTTTACCATTTTCATCCGTTTGTCCCAATCATTAACTACATGCCTTTGAACCTAAAATCCGATTCCAATCACTATCTGACCATTTTGAATGGTGACGATATTATTTGACCATCCAACCACATTTTGTTTCCGAACCTTGAAAATGTCCATAAAATGATATTGTGGCATTTATTATTTGGTTGTGATTTCAGTTGCCGTTGTTGTTGCTGCTTTTGCATTGCGTTATTATTTTTGTTCTGGCATTTTGCGGTCGAATGTTAATTTTTATTTATTTTATTTGATGTTATTTTATCCTGCCAAAGGACACTTTGTAATGCGATAGCAATTCAAATGAAATTTATGGTGTTGTGCAACAAATTAATACTGTTATATGTCTGGCGGAGGCACACTGAGGCCACCACAGTGAATCATTGATGCGGTTTTGTATAAAAAGAAAACCCATTTTGGAATGACAAGATATGTTCACAGCAAGGTGAGAGATTTACTGTATGATTTCCTTAAATTCGAAACGAATGATAAATTAACAATATATTTTTTTAGAATTTTACTCGAATAGGCCCTGTAGTTCCGCATCCAGCTCGATCCAATATTCAATAGTGTAGAATTAAAATTTACGTGACTTCGTTAGCAAATATTTATAATGTAGCGAAATAAATCACTCCAAAACAAGAAGACTCTATCACAAAAGAGGGAATAAATTCAAGCCCACTTCAAAATCGAAATGTTATGAATAATGGTTTTGGGGTTTTTGCCATAATTACACATTTTTATCATTATTATTTGCGTTTGATAGCTTTTGTTATTGCCGCTTCTGCCGTTTGTTGTTGGTGTTGCTATAACAATTTCAAAAACACTCATAAAAATACACACACGGACAAAGATACACACACACACACACACACACAAAGGCGGCTTTTTTAAATAACTTCTTTTTGTGGTTTATTAAGTATGGTTCGAAATGTCATAACCATCAATTATGGTCGCCTACTTGAAATCCGCCAGAGTGTGGGTTCTGAAATACTGCCATGCAGTAAGGATGTTTTAAAACCAAAATTAAAAATCTAAAAATTTAATATACGGTGATGATGAAATTATATAAATTGTAGAAGTTTTAAATAAAATAGCGGAATCGAAAATTAATAATTCATATGGCGCTTAACGATAAAAAAATAAAACATGAAGGGTAGTATGGGTTCCAAGTAATTCGTTTTCTTTGCAGTTGTTATATGGACCATCGTTTTATATGGACATTTTATGATCAACACAAATCAAATTTCTTTTAACGAAGTAGATTCCAACCACAAAAAAAAGAAAGGAAAGTTTTTAATGCAATTTGTGAATGAAATGGAAATGAATTTTCCATCTTCTTGCTGTTAAGCATTATCGATTACAAACTCATCCTCCAATCTCCCTCTTCCATCCATATCATGAACTCCATCATGGTTGCATTACTGGTCAAATGAATGTAACAACATTTTAAGAAGATGATGAAACTGACGAACAGAAACTTTATCCTATCCAAAGGATGCAAGAAAATAAAACTCAAAAAAAACGACGGAGAACAAAATAATTGCCATTAAACTGCAAATGTTCGCATAAAATTATTGAAATGGCAATTACAGACATTTTTAAGTACAAAGAATCAACAACAAAAGGAAATAAGTTTCCAAAATGGGGGCGGTGGATAGTAAGAGAAGCTGGGAAATGAAAATATGATTTTGATTGCAATTAATAGGAATATTCATGAAATATTCTTGACTCGAAGAAAAGAACAGCAAAAATTACAATAGATTTTTTTTTATTTTAAAAATTCATCATTTTTAAAATATAAAAATTAAATGGTTGGAGATATTTAAGAATGTGAGAATTTAATTTTAATAAAATGTTATCCACTAAAATATAATTTATGTGTCGATAATATACCACAAGGGTTTGTGAAATGATTCTAAGAATATTACAACTAAACATAAATATAAAATAATAATACCCTCTAGCTCAGGATAATTATTTTTAGAAGAGAACATCTATTAATATTTTTTATTCTAATTTTAGTTTTGTTAATGACTACTAACTGAACTGGCGAACGAAAGGGGGGTTTGAAACCAATTAACTTTAAATATAATTTATGAAAATACAAAACTAGGGACAAAAGGCCATAATGAGTATTCAAACAATATTATTGACATTATCCCCTCACTTTAACGAATCTTACCTTTAATATTTGTATTCACTTTCCGACATTTTCCTTAATATTTATTTTCTTTCGTTCTTCCTTTGCAGATATTACTTTATCCCGAAGAAGGATGGGCCCGTACCGCCTCCTCTTCATATTGGACTATAACCCCTTGCTGGTGGCAACCAAATCGTTGTCGCATCGAAGAATTTGCTGGCACTCAGCGTCGAGTCACCAAAGCTAAAATGGTATCACTCGAACAAAAAGGTTCTTTGTTGATAGTTGGCCATTTCCGGAGCAAAGACTCGTCCTCATCGTCGGCAGCATCGAATTCGGGTGCTTTGTCAACATACTCGACCACATCATCAACGTCATCGTCAGGGAGGTCACCTTCCACCGCTGCAGCCGCTGCTTCGGCACACTCAAAGGATAACGACGAATTCAAATTGTATTTAAGTTCAAACATCTCCATGGAGGACTACAACATGGGTTATTGCCTGACAGGTTTCGTTGAACGAAGATGTCAGCAGACAAACACATTTCAAATGACACATTTTGCCGTTATTAAACGTCAATGGCCGTCCTTAATACACACCCAAACGCAACCGAGTAAAGCCAGCCGTGTGTTCTGTACAAGTGGCAGCAGCAGCAGCGGTGGTGGCTGTGGCGGCAGTGGCGGTGGTGGTAGCAAACGTCGTGATACATCAGCAAAGCCAACGTAATTATAGTATTTAAATAGGATTTTTCTATTTTGCATATTTATTGCTTTTACAGCAACAACAACAAAAACAACTAAACAATGATGATGTAAATTTAACTAAAACGCATAACAAAGCGAACAAAAACAGCAACCCTAGCATAATTCTAAGAATGATGTCTATTTTGTGTGCAAGAAAACGAAATGAAAAAGAAAAAAATCAAAGAACTACACTTTAAGATCCCCTCCCAAAAATAGTCGTTAAGTCTAGAAACTAAATCAAAATGTCCATGGTAACATATATACATACATACATACAATTTAAGCATTTAACAGCAAAATTGATATACAAAACGCTTAAGTTATCAATATTTCAATAAGAAGCAACAGAACATAAAACTATTACCAGTGATGAATAGTTAAATGAAATCTAAGTGAAAACAGCTTCAATGCTAGAAGACAATGCCATCAGAGCATAAACTTACAACATATGAAATTATCACACGCACGCACACATACACACACACACACTCATCGTCACCATCATCATCGCCACATGCATGTCTTTATGCTTCGTCTTGCTAAGTTTTTATTTTGGGGTATGTATGTATTTTATTTTTCTGAATTTTTTTATATAGTTTTCCTTTTTCAATATTTTTAAATTCAATTTCATAGTCCATTTCGGAAATGTCAGAAAACCACATCAAAGAATTGTCCTTCTTATGCTAAGCCACAATTACACACACACACATTCATTGTGCAGTTGCTTGACTTTTCCTTTATTGAATTTATTTCAATACATATTTTTGTGTTTTTTTTTTTTATTTGGTTGAATAATTTAATCTCTCATTTTTCACACTTAAGGCCAGTGTTGCCGTTGTGAGCTAAATAAAAAGCTATTTTGGTCAATTGACTTGAGTATTTTTAAAGTTTTAGAGGCGTTCCATAACAAAAAGTAAACTCAAGATCGTATGGATCGTGTGGATAAAATTACAGATTTAAGATATATTCTTATAGAATTTTTGATTCTTGAACATTTCGGGTTTCAGACGGTTATTAAATATTAATGCCTTTTTTGTTTTTTACTAATTGATAGACCTAAAAAGTTCTAAAATAAATATTGTCACCATTCCAATAATTAATGAAGATATCCTAGTCGATATAAAAATTTGAAATGGCAACACAACATGCAATTTTCATTTGGCCTTTAGAAAACACATTCTTCGATTTGTGGTTGAAAGGAAAAAGAAAAAAATATATCCTTGGAACTTAAATTGTCTTCAAATATTTCAATTGCACACACAACAACGGTATGCCACACCAGACCCAATTCAATCCTTTAAGGGTTTAAATGTTTTCTTTTTTGTTCGGTGCGGAACACGACACAAGAATAATGCCCACCCTGAAGATCAACTACGAAAATACATTCTAAAGAAATTGCAACAAATTGCAGCTTTAAGCTTAATAAACTTATGCTCGCTTAAGCGTGTGATTGTGTAAATTTTTCTTTTCGTAAGCTTCTTGAGTTACACAGTTAGTGTCAAATGATGGTACATGAATTATCGTGGGGAAAATGCAGTCCTGAAATTCAACACCATAATGATAAAGGCTCGCCTTAACGAACCTTTAACAGATTTTCAAATATTTTATTTCCGAGATCGGATTTTTATGAAACAGGGTTCGACATTTACTTCAAAGATAACGAATTATGGAAATATATATAAACATAAAATGAATAGGTTGTTTTAGTCTGAAGACATAATGTGAACTTACACTACCTTGTGATTATTTCAGACTGTCTGTTGTACAGTCAAATTGACGTTTAGTTACACTTTGCAAAGGACACAACAATTCCCTTCCACAAAATGAAGAAAAACTGCTGATATTTTTTTTTTCAAAATATCCTTGTGGATGCTGTAACATTTCGAATATACTGAAAGGCAATAGGGGGCTGGGGGTGAATATTGGCGTAAGCATGTGTATATTGTAGACATATTAAATAAATCGCATCTGAGCATTAAAAATACGTTAATGTTTATTTAAACATTATTTCGATGTTGTTGCTACTGCTGCTGTTGTTGTTATGGCGTTGTCGTCCTTGTTGGTTGGCTCATTGTCGTCGTTGATGTGACGTTACTCGCTTGAAACACCATAATAAGCATTTCGTGTACATTTCGCATTTAGTCCTTTCATCTGATGTACGCTTGTTGTGTGTGTATGAGAGTTTTTTCTTTTGGTCCTTGCAAGCTGATGGCATTCGCATATAAACCTCTACGGCGAATGTCAAGCATTGCGTGAAATTGTGTCAAAATAAGTCATGCTTAACATGCGTTTTTTTTTTGTTTTGTATGTAGGGTCTACCAGACTCCTATAACAATTACACACACAGACAAACACACATACTCAAACAACTACAAAGAGGCACATGTCTCGTTATATGTCTCGGCGTCTGTTTATCAGCATACGTAGGTTTGGGTTTTTTTCTTTGCTAACAACGATTTCTTGCGGATGAATTGTGGCTAGACGGACACATTTACAGGCGTATGTATGCTTGTCATAAAGAAGCTACTTTGGCAAAATTTAAAATTAATGAAAAAGCATTTGCCACGCTTCAGAATATCTGACAGAATTTCAAGGGATTTCATATTACTTTAAAATTAAATCTCAATTTTCAATATCTTTAAAAATTTGTTTGTCTTTCGTTTTTTGTTCTCTTTTCAATAATAGATACTAGATTTGAATAATAATAATATAAAAAATATTTTTCGTCTCCAACACCTTCGTTAATGTCGATATCGGTCTATTGACTATAAGCCTTTTTATTTAGTTTCCTTTGTTTTCATAAAAATCATTTTTAATCCCCAAATGCAATTAGCATACAAAGTTTTCAACACTGTTCACCTCACCTCATGCCACACTCCACCCAGAAACAATAGACTTTGGCTGAATGGCTGCTAAGCTAGATAAGTACTACTGCTAGCTAGCTGCTCTTACCACTACTACTACTACTAATAAGTGTTTTTGTGTAACATAGCTTAACATGTGGCAACCTTGTTTTTTTTGGAAAACATTTTTTATTTGATCTTTAGCCTTTCAAATAAACATTTTTATATGTTCATCTACAACTACTAACTCTAAGTGTTGATTTTCTATATTTTGTGTGTATTTACCAAAACTTGAAAAAGAAATACAAAATAAAACCTTTTTAACAAACAAATGCCAAAAGAATCTTTTCCTCTCGAAGACCGAACACAGCACTGCAATGGGCAAACCCCCCGAAAATCTGTCGTCTACAATAAGCCAAATCAAAGATAGCATTAATATCGCATGGAAGACTCAGTTGATTGGGACGTCACAGAAGCAACACCGACTGACTGAATGATCCGGCACTGAAACCAACAAACAAACCAAAATCAAAAAAGGGAAAAGTTTTTTAAGCAGATAAGAAACTATATCAAAATTCGTCCATATGGTTGGAGTTTGATTTAAACCGGTAGCTTACAAAAATTATAAAAAAAATATTTAATATATAAAATCAAATCTATATATACATACATGTACTTAGTACATATACAAACACTCTTTTTTAAGATGTGGAAATTACTGGAGACATCGCAGTTGACCATAGCTGCTTGCTGTTCCAGAAAATGCTTAATACGTCCCAGGCTTTTTTGATAAAAAAGAAATTAGTTTTTTAAAATCCCCTATAGCACATAAGTAGTTTGTAAGCTTTTTGCCTCAACTTTTTAAAAAATATGAAACAAATTGTTAATGAATGCCTGCCAACAACAAAAAGCAAAACAAAATAATAAAAAACAACAACAACTATACATAGCAAACTAACTAACAGTTTGACAACCATCACAACAAAAACAAATTTTACACAATTACCCACCCACCCCTACTCACTTCCCCAACATACTGTTTTCCTCGATATGTATGTGTGGAGAACTCTTACATTTTGTGTATACAACAAATGAACAAAACAGTAACAACAACCAGAAGAGAAAAAACAATGTATTTTCTAGGAAATATTGAAAACTTATTGAAAAAAAACAAGCACCGGAAATCGACTCCAATTATTTTTTAAATATAGTCAAGTAATTGTAACGTAAAAAAAATTAGAATTACCCAACTTTTTGAACAAAAGAAGTATATATATATATATAGAAGTAATTTTACCGAAATCTTTGTATCTTTGTTTAGTGTATAAGTGTGTAGTTAGTTGTATGCTGTAGTATTTTGTAAGTTTGTATGCATGTGTAAATAGAATCTCTTTGTATTTCATGTTTCTCTTTAGCTGTTTTCTTTTTCGTAATGTGATGTCTTAAAAATGTAGTTTTTATGTATTTTGTAATTACATATTTCATAATTTTTTGATCATAGCCAGTCTAACATAAGATAATCAATGGAGGTATTTTTTTTTTAAAAATTTTAATTTTTATTTCAATTCAGAGAAATACAAAATTTAAAGTAAAATCATTTTAAATACATTTGTATACCCTCAGCCTTATAGCTAATGAGGGTATATGCACTTTTATGCGGTGAAAATGTGCCTCATCGAAATATTGGTATTAGACCCCATGTTTCTTTGGACCAAATTCGTTTCAGAAATTTTGAAGCGGATTTACAAATGTCCGTCAGTCCGTTGCCCGTCTGTCTGGCTGGCTGGTGTGCACGATAACTCTCGAAGGGAACAATCGATTTCATCCAAACTTTGCACATCTTATTATTTCTTCCAAGCTTAGTTCAAAAAATGGTCAAAATTGTGCTAAAAATTAATTTTATAAAATCATGAACAGATTTTGCACAACCTATTATCTTTACCAAGCCTAGATCAAGTCCAAAGAACTCCTTCTGATTCCTCTCACACAAGGTTTCAAAATTTTCAATATTTATAAATCCAATATCTGGCGAACGAACTATCCGATTTAAAACGAACTTTGTACAACCTATTACCTTTACCAAGCCTAGATCAATTTTGAAGGTGGGACCCATTGGTCCATTCCTTCTGGTACCTACCCCCACAAAGGGTCAACATTTTCAATATTCATAAATCCAATATCAGGCGAATGAAATGTCCGATTTGAACCAACTTTATATTTGGTATTTTCAAGGTTCTCACTATATTT